CGCTGTCACGTGGCGGCTCCGCCTTTCCGGAGCGATGCGCGTTCATTGAGTGAGGATGGGTGCGTGGGCGCGGACGGGGATGGGCGCGGGTGTGCTGGCGCGGTGTAGTATGTAGCGCGGGCGTGTATTGATGTGGTGTGGTGGTGTCGTCTGTTGCATGGGTGTAGAGGAGGCGGCGCGCCGATGGTCGTCCATGGCTCGCCTGCGGGGCATGCTGGGCTGTGTCTCGCCCGGCACCGAGGCCACAAGGGGCCCCCCGCCCGCCCACCTGCCCAACCCGGGTCGGGGCAGGGGGCTGGCTCGCTCTCGCAGCTACGAGTGCACGGGTAAGTTGTGTGTCTTGCGTTAGTGTAGACCCTCTCTGTTCCCACTCACGGCAACGCGGGCGTGAGGATAGTCGCCGGTCCAGTCAGCATGGTTGGCTATCGTCAGCACTGAGCGCTTGGCCAGTTTCCTTCCCACGTCATTCCTGTCAGCCTTTGGGTGCGGCAATATCCACGCGCTCTCGTTGCCGTGTGTGTTCACCGTCATGCTTGCCCGTAGTCAGTGAATGTTGACTTCTAATTAGAGTATCAGATTAGTAACTGTTGTTGAAGACTGTTATGCTCACTAACCTTGCTGTTTACTTGGCTGTTCTAAGTGGTATGCAACGAGACTGTCGGTAAAAATTACCGTAAATGCGAAAGGACCAGCGACAGCCACTACGGGTTATTCATAAAGTTCTTAAGTGATTACTTCTTACTTTCAGCTTGTCTTTTGCAAGAAGTTTTGACGATCCACCATGTTTTAATCCAATAGATTTATTCGAGTTTCATTTACATAGAAACTTGAAACATGGCATTTTGACCTAGATCTTTGTGCATTTTTAGACAAAGTTTTGGCCTTTGAATTTGAACATTGGTACCCCTCAGTAGTTATTTCATCAGAAAGAAGCATGTTTTTACATCTACGAAGTTATAGTTTGTCTATACAATTCGTGACCTTTACACTCTTTTCCTTTCAATGATATAATAAACTCCACCTTTTTGCATAGAATTAGTTTCCTGCAAAGTACAACTTTCTTTTAAAATCCGAGAACAACCTGACTATTTTTTCGTGTGCAAAATGAGATTAAATAATCAACTGAAGTTGTAATTTGTCTCTGCTGAGTAGCTAAGCAAAATTACGGACATTTCCAGTTGTTTCATCATCAAGATTTGTAAAATGATTTGCAATTGCTTTGTTATCTATAATCATGTTTGGGGGAAAGGTCATATTTCATGCTGACACATTAGCAAAAGAAATGTGGACATTACATTTTTTTCTTTTCTTTTTGTTTTGTTAGCAATAGATAAGCAGCATCAAAACAACTCTCTTTCTTTTCGGTTATTCAGTCTAAAGCCACAATCACTGACCGAAATCACTCTTATTTCCATAGCATCTTTTCACCAAAAAAAGACAATTAATCCAAAAAAAAAAAAAAGAAAAAAAAACTGATATATACATATCCAATACTTATTTTCCCCTTTCTCTCTTAACCAAAATAACTCAAAAAAATATATATTACTTTTTTTCTGTGACCCCTAACCGCTTTCCCACAGCAGGGACCCCCAATCGCATCCGTCGAGAGGGGGTCTCGCGGGGGTCGGCGCTCCACAGCCAAGCCTCTTCTGTGACCGAAGTGGCTTCCGACGAGATTGACATCGACAACGATGAGCCCTTAGGATTCACCTCGTAAGTCCCAGGGATTTTGCTCGACGTCATGTCATCATTTCGTTCTTATTTACTTATTTTATTGCCTATTCTGCATGTGTTATTATTTATTCTTATTGGTATTATCATTTATTCTTATTGGTATTACCATTTATTCTTATTGGTATTATCAAATAATTATTCTTATTGGTATTACCATTTATTCTTATTGGTATTACCATTTATTCTTATTGGTATTATCATTTATTCTTCTTTACGGTTTTCCTTGCTTATTCTTAACTTAAAGACTGTATGGATTTCCGAAGGTGTTTGTTTGTGTTTGTTTGTTTCGTTCTATTTCTCTTGTTCGTATATTTGGTCATACAAAATTGGATTGTGTTTTTAATTGCTGTCATTGAAGATGTTTTACATTCATGCTTGTTATGCGTATTTTCAAATGTTCTGTGTATGTGTGTGTGTGTGAGAGAGAGAGAGAGAGAGAGGAGAGAGAGAGAGAGAGAGAGAGAGAGAGAGAGAGAGGAGAGAGAGAGAGAGAGAGAGAGAGAGAGAGAGAGAGAGAGGGGGGGGGGGGGAGGGAGGGAGAGAGAGAGAGAGGGAGAGAGAGAGAGAGAGAGGAAGGAGAGGGAGAGAGAGAGAGAGAGAGAGAGAGAGAGAGAGAGAGAAGAGAGAGAGAGAGAGAGAGAGAGAGAGAGAGAGAGAGAGAGGAAAAGGAGGAGAGAGAGAGGGGGGGGAGGGAAGGAGGGAGGGAGGGAGTGCAACAGAGAGAGAGACGAGGGGAAGATTGACTTAGTGATACAGAGAGACTGATTGTAAATGTACTATTTTTATGAATACAATTACTTGTAGAAACTGAAGGAACTCTTTTCTTGCCATTAAAGACTTCAGTTGCACTGGTTGAATTACATGTGTATGCATGTAAGTGTGTGCATGTACACATATGTAGCATGTAGGTATGAGAGTAAAGAGAACACACACCATATCCAACGAGAGGCCGTGTTCACAGAGAACGCACTCCAGACTTCTCTCACTAAGTCACCTGACGCACTGCAGGCTTCTTCTCCACAGACTGACCGAGGCTCACCGCAACGCCATCAGAGCTATCAGAAAAATCAAGTACTTCGTGGCGAGGAGGAAGTTCCAACAGGCCAGAAAGCCGTACGATGTGCGTGACGTCATCGAACAGTATAGCCAAGGCCATCTCAACATGATGGTCAGAATCAAGGTGAGGCATTCCGCTAGAGGGATTTTGATATTACTGACTGTAACATCGGCGGTGTTAAATATGAACATAAGTGCTGGGGAGAGAGGAAATGCCCCTCCCACCCAGCAAGTGAGGCAGACTGTGGGATCCGCTGGGAGGGCGATTGCTGGAGAACAGAATGGAAACAGGAGCTACTCGTCCCGCCTGCGTTCTGGCAACCGCCAACCTAGTGAGAAGCTTGTGGGGCAAAGCCCAAGGGAACCCCATGGGTCCCACAGCCTGCTAACCCCATTTATATGGGGCAACGTCGGCGGGGATAGCAGAGGTAGCGTCCAACCGGTTAAATCTCAGGTGGGACATTAGGGTGGGGGCTTGGAATGTCCGCTCTTTGCGTCTGGATGATCGGTTGCCATTACTGCCAAGGAAACTGAGGAGGCTGAGAGTTGAGGCAGCTGCTGTCTTGGAGGTGGGAAGACCTAGCAACGGCACGATTAGTGTGAGTGGCTACATCCAGTACTGGTTGAGTAGCAGCGATGGTCACTATGTTTAGGGAGTAGCCATAGCCATCTCCAGCAGACTTCAACCGTCAGTAGTAGAGGTTACTCCAGCCAATGAGCGTATAATGGTATTGAGACAGAAGCTTGCATTTAGCTTCATGTCTTTCATTGCTGTGTATGCTTCTACTGATGTTTTTAAACGATGTGAAAGAGGTGTTCTATGCCAAACTTACATCTGTGTCAGACAGAGTCCTCTTCCTGTTTTGGGTGACTTCAATGTGGTATCTGCCTGGGATCGAGCTGGGATGTCTGTCGGTCCCCACGGTTTAAGAGCCGATGCCAGCTGCAAGAATGGCCTTCTTTTCTAGGACTTTGCAAGGTCACAGAAATTGAGGATTTCTGGCTCTTGGTACCAGCGCTCTGACCCACATTGTTGGATGTGGTACAGTGATGCGGGTGATGCAGCCAAAAAAAAAAAAAAGAGAGATCAAACACATACTCATTAGCACTTGTTGGAAGATCCTCCAGAATTACAGGGTGTTCTGAGTTCTGTGGTACTGTCAGACCAAAGATTAATTGTGGTTACCCTCCAGGGCACAGGCTGAGGGAGGGGAAGTGTGCCTAGGGTTTGCTGAGGCAATTTCTGGTTGCTTCACAGTGCTCGACAACCTGACAGACCCTGTCCTTCTGTGGGACACCTTCAAGTACAAAATGCTCGACGCAGCTCAAGAACTGAATAGTGAACGCCCAAGAACAAGACAGAATTTTATTTCACAGGAGATGCTGGAAGCTGACGGGATTGGGATTTGCATCGTTCTCAGGTGCACAGGAATCGGTCATTGTTGAGAAGGGGCAAGTAACACTTTATTAGGAGTCTTGCAGAGAAGGTTAAAGGCCATTCCTTAGTAAATGACCATCCAGCCTACCACACCCTGAGAAAGCTGAACTCCAATCCCTTTTCATAGGTGACTGTAGTCACTCAGATCGTCTCAGATTCTGTTGCGGTGTGGGAGTGTTGGGTTGAGTATTTTGAGCAGTTGTACCAGGTTGATCCACAAGTCAATCCAATTTTGATACAGGTGTTGAAATTCTGTTGTCGGACTAACTGAAGTTAAGATGACAATCTCGAAACTGAAGAGTGGTAAAGCAGCAGGTATCTGCAGCATCCCAGCTGAACCTGTAGTGCATGGATTGAATTCTGTCCTGGCTGCCATCTGGCAGCTGGTATCTTTCCCCCTGACTTGTTGAAGGGTGTGGTCCTCTCGGGAGGCACACATCATCGCGTGAGGCACTACAATTTCTGCATGACCCTGCTAAACTGACCTAGCTTCTCTTGGAGTCTAGATAGTTCTTAAAGATCAAGCATAATTGCATTCAATTCCCTACGCAGGGAATCGAAGTCCTACAGAGCGACTTTTGAGCTTCACACTGCTCAAAATACCAAGCAAAGTTCTCGCTTACATCCTTCTGTGATGGATCAGAGACCACCTGCTGAGGCACCAAATGCTGAAGCAATCTGGATTCACTCCTGGTAAGACCACAATAGACCTTATCCTGGTGATTGTAGTCATTGTAGAGTGCTGCTGTGACTTCGGGCATGGGCTGCTTGTAGCCTACATCGACCAAAAGACGTCTGGTAATGTGCATTGGAAATCACTGGGAGATTCTGAGACTGAGAGGAATTCCAAAATGGATTATTGGACTATACTGGTATTGAATGTGCTGTAAAGTGTGTTGGAGGCCTGTCGAACTCCTTTCCTGTTCAGGAGTGAGACACCAACATTTTTCAACATTTGTATGGACTGGATACTGGGCAGAATTAGTCCAAAGTCATTGTGAGTAACTGGGAAATATCAAGGTTACTGATCTTGACTTTGCTGATGATGTTACTATTCTGTCTGAGTCTGGAAACTCAGATGTTTTTAGCAATGAAGCAAAGCCCCTGGGTCTAGAGGAGACTTTGGGGACTTGCTAGAACCTGCTCGGTTGGTACGTGCTTGCCATGAGGATATTGAAGTCACAGAGAGCTTTTCATACTTTATTAAAGTTGTTTATAACCTGGCAGGTTATGAATAACATTAGGGGTCATGAACTCTCTCAACAAGAGTATTTGGAGATGCCAGTACCTGTGCAGAAGGACCAAACTATGTGTTTTCAAATCCCTGATAATGACAGTTTTACTATACGGTAGTGAAACTTGGACCTATTGTAATAGGTCCTTGCACTGGATCACGGGGTACTGTTGGCGGGACCATGTGTCAAACCAACGGTTGAGACTGGCACAGGTCCTGTAACTTGCACAATTTGTGATGCTATCTCAGATTATACAGACACCTGGCTCACTTCCCACAGGATGATCCTGCCCATCAGGTTGTATCTATACTAGACAACCTGTTTGGTGAAGGTCTGTGGGACGATCTAGGAAGTCGTTTCTTGGGCTGATCGATCAAACCTGTCGTGAAGAGCTTGAGATGGGCTGGGTCCCTGCCTGGCGGATCGCCATGAGGGATATCCTCGTAGGTGAAAACAAAGGGTGGATGCGACTATGCGCCTCCGTCGACGTTAGCTCTCCAATGATGATGATAACTGTTTATGGGTGTTTGTTCAATAAATAACATAAAAAGGTCTCTCTATCACATTCCTATTTTAGCCCTTTTTTCTTTCTTTTTCCGTTTTCTTATCTCTCTCTCTCTCTGTATGTCTGTCAGCCTATTCCTTTTGTCAAATTCTTAAAGGATCTACCTACCTACCATATTTTTTTTTTTTTTCTCTTCCCTTATCTACCCAAATAAAGGCATACATATATGTCTACATGCGCTCTTCTATTGTACATATTTTCATGTATGTATGAGGTCCACATCCATCGCTTTGCCTACTCATTAGCATCTATTTGATAATTGAGTATTGAATTCCCTCCTCAAATCCGTCCTCCTTTCTCCAGGAACTCCAACGCCGCCTCGACCAGACCCTCGGGAAGCCGGGGAGTTACCTTGCGGGTATCGACAAGTCAGGCAATGTCAAACCTATGACTATAGGTGCAAGGCTCTACCGCGTGGAGCAACAGGTGAGAGGAGCTTCTGCTTTCTTCGGTGGCCCCCGTGGCTTCTTTTTAAAACGAAAGACTATACTATTATTACTTAGTAGATTGTCATTCATTCGTGATGTCAGAAATAATGAAATGATATAAGCTTTATGTTTAATTTTTAGTATTATTATTATCATTATCATTATATCTGAGAAATAATGGTAAATGTACGTTTTCTTCAAGTTATTCCTCCTATTATGATGTCACCACAGCACCTCTCTCTCTTATTTTCTTCGCAACAGTTGCTTCTCCTGGACAAGAAGTTAGACCAGATGCTGTTCGTGTGCAACGCCCTTTCGCAGAAAACCCAGTTACCTGAGATACGCAACCCGGACGACCATGTATAGCAATGCTAGTGTAGTGATTTTTTATTTTGTTCTTTCTTCGGTGTGTTTATCTCCTTTGATCTGTTGATATATATTTTCTTGTTTGTTTGTTTGTTTGGCAAGTGAAGAAAAAAATATTTTCGTGATATATCTCGCCAAGTTTTGCAAAACGATAGCTTCCCATGTCATTGTTGCATTGAATTTGATCATTGTAGGGAAACAAAGACAGACTTAAGCACCGTCATTTAACCTTGGAAATTGTACTATCGTAATATGCAGGATAAAGATGTGTATATATCTATATTTTCTAAATATGTAACAGTACATATTTACGTTGGGGAATACACGCGCGCCTGGCGTGTGTATGTGTATATACAATAATATAAATATATAGGTTATATATGATATATTATCAAGCAGTGAATACAACGGTCAAGTGGCGATGCCTGACCTGCAGCTAGTCCACGGCTCGTCTCTGTAGCCTGGTCCTGGTACCTTGTATGCCCTCACGTCCCCTGGTTGCTGCCATCCCGCTGCACCGCAACTGGTTCCACGGAGCTCACGATTTCACTTTTGGAAGAGTCGTCTGCCAGTTTAAGTCTTTGAGTAATGGGTACGTCGGGTTCGAACTGACTCTCTCTTCTGCGCGTGTGTTGACCATTATCAGTATTGCAAGCGAGAGCATTTGCAAGCATGTGT